AGCTGTCAGCACAGAGCCCGATGTGGGGCTCAAACCCACCAACTATGAGATCATGACCTGAGCCAAGGTTAGACGCTTAACCGACTGAGCCACCCAGGTGCCCCCCTTTTTTCTTTTTTTAAAGTTTATTTATTTTGAGAGAGAGAGAGCATGAGCGGGGGAGGGACAGAGAAAGAGGGAAAGAGAGAGAGTCCTAAGCAGGCTCTGTACTGTCAGCGAAGAGCCTGACTTGGGGCTCGAACTCATGAACTGTGAGATCACGATCTGAGCCGAAACCAAGAGTCGGATGCTTAACCGACTGAGCTGCTCAGAGGCCCCTAGATGTGCTTCTCCTTAAGTCTCCAGAGGTGTTGGCCGCAGTGCCCACGAATTCAGTGCATCCGGGGTCTGATGAATACACAGCTAACCCATTGCTGAGACTTGCACGCCAGACTGAAATAGGCGTTCACGGGCCAGTAGTACCAGCACGGGTCCGCTCGTAGCGCCTTCTGTGTTCCGAGCCGTCTGGCAGGATCAGCCGTCGAGTCTTCCTCATGTGAGGCTGCTGCTGCTGTGTCCATGTTCACCGTCAGGGAAACCGAGGCTTGGACAGCCTAGGTGGCTTCCCAAGGGCATGCTGCTGGTACGTGGTGCCTCTGGTCTGGCTTCCAGGTGGCTGGCTCCTGATGAGTGTAGACAACTCTGCCCAGAGTGGCCTGAGGTGCCAGCTGTGTCATGCCAGCCACCATGCTGGGGGCTCGGTCACCCCCAGGTCTTTACAGCAACCTCCCGAGGTCTGCGTTTCTCCCCGTTTTCCAGACAGGGCCTGCCGGTGTTTATTTAGCAAGGTCAAGGAGCTGGCCAGGTTCCTGCTTGGGGCGGATGGTGGAGTGAGGATTTGAACCCAGATCTCCGGACGCGAGAGCTTACAGGGGAAGTGGGAAACGGGGCGTTTGTCTTCCCTTTTGGTTGCTGGCCACTGGCTGGATTTTTACGAAGGCCAGAGCGGGAACTACGCAGAGCTGCCCGGGGGTAGACGGTGCCCACCTTCCTCCATAGGGTCGTGCTTCCTGCGGACAGACCAGCTGGACGGCGAGACCGACTGGAAACTGCGGCTCCCCGTGGCCTGCGCGCAGAGGCTCC